CCTTAGAACTCCAGGATTTTAGGCTAACTCTAAATAATAAGAACCCCCTAGATGCCATGGTTAAAATGTTGCATATAAATGGCCATCTCAAGTTTCACCGATTCTTCAGTGTTTGTCTCTGTAAATGCATTATAGTCGAAACATAAATAGTAAGAGTCCAGGAAAACAGCTGCATGTTTTTGTATTTCAGTTACCCAGTCCACAGAATGCAGCATACATGTTAAATTCTGCTACTCTTTCCAATTCAAATTCAGGAAATCCTGAAGTCACTCACCATCAAGGCTCTGCTTGAGAATATAGTGACATGAGAAGTAGATTTCTTCTACTGTCTTTAATTTTATGTCCAGTAAGAATGCTTGTAGGATGTGATGATGATATCTATTCACATTTTGTGTTATGTCTCATCAGTTTTGGAACAAGAAACATGATTCTGACCTTCTTCTTCATTCTGCCCATAGCTCTCACCACAACTCAACTAGCAAACTTTCACATCTAAGTGTAACTGTTGAGACCAATTAAGAGAAAGTTATTTTCTTCTGGTCAAAAGAGTAGAATCTACCTCAGGCCTTGATTAGAGATCTAACATTCCAAGCTATCCAAACAGAGTTTAACAGCGTCATGAAGAGTTTGTACCATAACCACAGCATTTCTTAGAAGAGAGAGTGTAATCCTTACATTATTAAACTTCTTTTAAATGGAAAACAGAGAATTCAATGTCTATGCTGTCACACTAGAAGAAACAGGTATACCCCCAAAGTATCATTTTTATATAATTTCGTATCTCCAAATGCTTTATGGTTGCTTGAATATCCGGTGTACATAAACTTTGGGTTCACAAATATTTACCATGCCTCATACATATATTTGTTGAGATATTAGATTTCTATGTTTCTGCTTGTCTTAATATACTTAAATCTCGTTTCTAAAGTATGTCTACTGCATCACTAGAAGTGGTTGAATATTCAGGTTTTCAATCAACTGCTTTACTTGGTTGGATTAACTACAAATTTGTTGACATGTATTGATGACTTCTCATTTTCTTGCCCAGAGATCATTTCTTCTACTCATTTATTTTCAATTTCCCTACTTTCTTATGTGACAGTATCACATGAGCAGCGGAACAGAGCCCTCTAAGCTCACAAGGACTGGAATAAACTAATTAGCAGGCATCATGATGGAGACTATTCCCCTCCTGCATTACCTGCTTAGACAGGAAACGGGAAAAATCCAGCTCTTGACACACTGAAGCAATACCTTCTTTCAAAACACCTCCTGCTTAGCACTTAGACCTCAGCTCACAATCTTGCACATGGTTTGAATACAGAAACCATCAGTTTGAGGGTAAGGTGCAATATAAAAATACCCTCAAGAATGGGCTTTGAGTTGAGAAAATTCTGTATCTTCTTTTATAGTTAGCAGAAGGAAAACCAGCTCTTTAATAAGATGAGAGCTATTCTGACAGAAAAGGCTGTGTATAACTGGATTGCAGGAAGTCAGAGAAGTTCCCCCCACACAGGTGTGCAGAAGCACTGAAGTGTTACTAACAAACACTAAATAGAAGTGTTGAATGGTTTGTTATGCGAAGAAGATCCAGAAATAAGAGTGGAAATCAGTGCTGGCTCATTTCATAAGCAGTGGGCCTGACAACCCCCACTGCTTAAAACTCCTCTCTGAAGAGCGAGGGCATGGGTTAGCTACTCCACTTGTTACCATCTGGACCCAGCACAAAAACAAGCCTAATCTTCTCCGTGGATTCTGAATAGCCAGGTCATTACACGGTGCATCTAAATTCCAGGGTTACCCTGATTCCATTTTGGTCAGATTTTACTCAACACTAGGTTGTTTGATTTTCTTGGGTGTCCTTACCGTGGGTATAATTTGCTAGCAAAAAAAAAAAAAAAAAAATTAGTCAAAATGTATACAATACTTAAAGAGCAGGAGAGGCCAAAACAATCCCCGTATCCTCACACTCTTTTCTATAGAGGTTGTTCACTCACTTCGGTGACAATTTTCAGTGTAGAAGCATCTTAATGCAAAAGATCCCCAACTACACCATAGCTAAAATACACAGACATAAAACAATGAACTGGTGAAGTGTCGTCTGCAATCTCTCTGCCATCGCTACAGTCTATACCTTATACATTTAGGGATAAAACTTGACATATTACCCATCGAAGCAATATACATAAATATTCCTACAAAAGAAAGCACTAAATATTTTAACAGTTTGCTTCAAACTTTAATGATTTGCAGATGGCATCTAGATCTTAAAATGTATAGAAAGATATTTTACAGCTCTGCCTAAATATAAATAATACATCCATCTAATTCACGAATGCAAAGGCTCATCCTTCTCCTGATGAATATGCTCATCGTCCATGGCTGCCAGTGAAAATTATAAGGATACACTATTATAAAACATGGTGCCCCTGTGTAGACATAATGGGAAGTAATCCATTCCATAAAAACAGTAATTAACTTGCAATCTTTCCTTACTGCTGACCAGTTACTATTCTTCAGGTGCTGAAGAATACTTACAGATTGAAAAAGATTGAGGTTGATAAAGTTATATTTCTCATTTATTTAGGCAGAAATTTTCAAAAATGCCATATTTCAGAAGAGACAATGAAGACAAAATTGTGTGTGTGTGTGTGTGTGTGTGTGTGTATGTGTGTGAGTGTGTGCCAGAAAAGAATATCATGTGCCCTCGTCTATTATTGTCTGCCTTAATCCTTTGAGTCAGAGTCTCTCACTGAACATGAACCAAAAGGGGGGTCACCATGAGCCCTAGCAATCCTCTGTCACCAGCCACTCCCACAGCACTGGAGTTGCATGCAACATGAATGTCTAAAATGGTCTTATAATAAAATACCCGGAACCAGATATTGGGGTGAAAGCTGAAAGATCAGAGAGACAAAGGAACAAGTCACAGCCACCACCTCTTACCTCACCAACTCCTCAGCTTAAAAAAGCCTCAGCCAATGGGCCTCTAACCAAAAGGGACGCTTCTGTGCTTCTGCTGAAAAGCCTTAGTTCCCGTCTCCTCATGCCTTATATACCTTGCTCTGCCCAGCCGTCACTTCCTGGGATTAAAGGCGTGTGTGCTTCCCAGTACTGAGATTAAAGGCGTATGCCACCACTGCCTGGCTCTGTTTTCTCTCCTAGACCCAGTCAATCTCATGTAGTCCAGGGTGGCTTTGATGGATCTCTGCCTCCCGAGTGCTAGGATTAAAGGTGTGTTCCACCACTGCCTGGCCTCTGCGTTCAATCTAGTGGCTTGTTCTGTTCTCTGATCTTCAGGCATATTTTAGGGTACGCAATACGTCACCACAGTTGCAGGCATGCATGTGGCCACACCTAGCCGTTTACATTGATGATGTAAGCCAAACCCAGGTCCTCATGCCTGCGCAGCAAGCTCTCTTACCCCCTGCGCCATTTCTCCAGCCCAGAAATTTAAAAATAAACACAGAAGGAGTTGAGCAACCGCTTGCTCAGAGATGGTGTTACAAATGCATAGTCAGCATAGTTGAGCACACAGAACCCCGAGAGCACCTACGTGTTTTTATTAGAACCATTAGAGAACAAACTGCTAATGGCAGTGGAAGTGTTTCAGTTTACAATATAAGGTGCTTCACTTTCCTTAAGTTTAAATCTCACAAATCATTCTCTCTTTTTTTTTAACTTTTTATTGATTCTTTGTGGATTTCACACCTTGCATCCCAATCCCATCCATCTCCCCATCCCCTCGTTTCTGACTTCTGTCCATGCAACCTCCCCTACCCCCAAAAAACAAACAAACAAAATTTAAAAGTAAAACAAAACAAAAAAACCAACCAAACAAATCTCAGTGTGGAAGCTGTAGTGTGGCCCAGTGAGTCACACAGTCTACCCCTTAGTCCACACATCTTTACCTGTAAATCTTCATTGCAAAGAGTCATTGGTCCGGTTCGAGGCCTCTGGCTTCTGCTACAGCATCAATACTGGGCTCTCCCTGGGGCTCCTCTTGGACATCCTGTTGCTGCCTTGTGTCATGGAGATCCTGGAGCTTTAGATCTGCAGGTCCAGTCCCTTCACACACTCGAGCAGTTCATAGACGAGGTGGATGTAGGGAGTGGGCTAACTCATAGCCCTGGGTCACCCTGCCAGCTTTCCCTCACCACACGGGCAAGCTCTCCAGGACCTCCCCAGCCAGCTCACCCAGTGTAGCAGACAACAAGGAGTGGAAGCAGGTCCCCTGCTCACACAGCCCTGGGTCCTGCTCACCGGCCCTGCTCACCGGCACTCACACCACCAGGGCTAGCTCTACTGTTTTGTCCAGGCGAGGTACAGAGCCATATGGATTGGAATAAACTTAGAGTGTTTAGCATGTACTATGTGGCTATCTATATAAGTGATTCTAAAATAATCTTTAGTCTTCCAATTGCATTATTGTGGCAATAAAAATGTATGGATGCTAGTACAAAAAAAAAAACAACTCGTACTCACAGTATATTATAAAAGTGCCTGACAGAATGCATTTGTTGAAATTTGCATTTGGTTTGGAAAATGTTTAGCAATTGAACACGGGCATATTTTAACTTTTAAGCCCTCATGTTGAGAGAGTATCGAGGTATTTCAGCAATTTGTTCTCAGCAGATGTTATGCTTTGAAATTAAAAAAATAGAGGATTTCTTCTCAGATTATTTTATGATCAATGTACAGGCTCTATGCAAGTAAAATTAAAGCTTCTGACAACTCATGTCCACATCAGTGGCTGTTAAAGATGTAGGAAATTGCGTAAAAGCATAAAATGCTCTGGGTAATTTTGCAGTTTCATCTCTAAGCATAATTGTAAAGATGTCTTTCAGTTCTCTCTCTGTCTTTCTTCAGAAGCATGGCCTTTTAGTTCTTGCCCTTTTAAATTCCTTTGCCTACTGTACCTTTTCTGGTTAATGCACTGGTTGATCTTGCCCAGCACGGACGGTGTTTACAGGGGTGCTTGCTTTTATCTGTATTCACAGAGAACGCTAACAAACTAGAAGAAAGTGCCAGAGAACACCACATACCTTGCCCGGAACACTACAACGGCTTCTGCATGCACGGGAAGTGTGAACACTCCATCAGTATGCAGGAGCCGTCCTGCAGGTAAGATTTTCTTTGTTAAACCTTCAAAAAGCATAAAGTAAAAATGTAGAAACCAGCTTTTAAGTGTTGGTGGAAGATTGGTTTACATTCTGCTTAAATGAGGGAGCAGCATCAAAGTTTCTCTGTCTCTCCTACACATACACACACACACACACACACACACACACACACACACACACACACTAACCAGAAGGTATGTGTACCTTATACACTCAGCGTACAGCACACCACTCTGTCCTTGCAGTATAATTTTAAGGGCATGGGCCACTTTTTGCTCACCATCCTTTCCTCTGGGTGCAGAGTTGTGCTTGGCCCTTCTCCCTTAGTATTTTAGGGAGGTTATTTCCAAAACCCTCCAGATCCTCTATGAACTGGTTTTGCTGGGCACTGGCTTTCTTCTCTATGGAGCCTGGTATCATGAGATGATTGGCTGCCATACCTCCAATTCAAACTCAGAAGAGACACAAAGAAATTGCTTGTCTGGGTTGAGTTTATAAATATAGTTTATAAATATCTACTCATGTCTAGAACATACAGCGATTATTTCTGAGATGGCAAATCAAACTGAAAACGTATCTATATTTAAATTAATATATAACTGGCATATGATGAAATAAATTGATTATGATATAGATATAGATATAGAAACAGCACTGTCTGTGTCTCTGTCTTCTCTCTACCTGCCTCTCTCTCTCTGCCTGCCTTTTATCCACAACTGTCTTCCACACCTGTTTCCTTTCACAGAACACACTGGAACTTTCCTGTTCTTCAACAGGCAGAGTGAACATGACAGAGAGACCTCTGCTGCCCATCCCTCCACAGCAGTCATTAAATTAAACCCTCCAGATATCCACGGAAAAGTCCGCAGGGTGTAGTTACAAGATATTCAAAGTCAAGTACCAGAGGCTCTCCACAAACAATGACATATTGATCTAATTTAGTATATTTTTCATACCAAATGCTTATTTCAATATGAAAATTGTCTGTGTGAACTTTTGGTTGGGAGATTGATTGAGTGAGAAGCATAATTCATTCTAAGAGGATGCTCACACTAGCTTGGTTTGTATACCTGTATTGCCTACACCAAAATTTTTCTCTTCAAAACTTTTGAAGAGAATTTCAAAAAAATTTCTCTGTTCAAAACTAATGACTTTATGGCCATCAAATTTAAGAAATCACTCCTGCTATATCTCTGATTCAATAATTTTTCGGCATTTCTCTAACAATGGCTTAGAAAATGTCTATAACAGACAGCCTTTTTTTTTGGCATGGTGTCATTAAGCAATATGTAAACATGTTAATTGAGGTTAAAGAAACCAATTAAAATAAAAGAGTTGTGGGCCACAAGTGACCAGATACTGTTCTTCCTTCCAGATGTGATGCTGGCTACACTGGTCAACACTGTGAGAAAAAGGACTACAGTGTTCTCTATGTCGTTCCTGGCCCGGTCCGGTTTCAGTACGTCTTGATTGCAGCTGTGATTGGAACAATTCAGATTGCTGTCATATGTGTGGTGGTCCTCTGCATCACAAGGTCAGTAACTGTACTTGGGCATCATCCAAGCTAAGGGCAGCTTTTGTCCTCCCTGGGACTCTGAGTCTCTTGGTGGGCTGACTGTAGCCACCTGTTCTCCGTGAGTCCTAGTTCCTCATCGTAAGAACATTTCACTAGCCAAGTGCAAAGGCATGGATTTTCCTACAGAACAGGCACAACTGATTTTACTCATTTTTATATTATGATGGGAATTGTTTATGTCCTAAGATTATTTTCCTCTCTAACATGTAATGTCAGCCTCTGTTTAAACACTCTTTTCTCTTTTATCTGTAAAAGGCCACTTTTCATTCAGACTATGAACCAGTATATCTTTACCTACTGGAATCACTATACCAAATGTGATAATAGATGTTATATAAGGTCTAGAAATGCTTAAATTCTAGCTCTCAATAATAGCATTCATATTTCCAAGTAGAACCTTTGGACACCATCAGTGTTAACACACTCGGTGTCAACAACAAATGCTTCCTCACTTTAAGATGGTAAGTGCTAATCGCAATATTTTAAATGTAATGAGAAAGATTGTGTGATGAAAACCTTTGATACATTTCTGAAACAGCAGCAAATACCACACCTTAATAGCAAATTCCAAGCCCAGGAAAAAGGTAATTTTTATTTGAACAGGGATGAGATTGAAAGGGAACAGAGATTTCATCCAGTTCCAACAGGAAATTGAACCATGACTCCTGAGTGATGTCTGAGGTTCAGTTTGAGATGAGGAGCAAAGACAGGGATTTGTTGGACCTCTTGAGTGTGCAAATGTGTGGTAGGTAAGAACTAGACTCCCAACCTAATGCATCATTCATGTGATAGCCAAAAAGCCAATGTAGATCCTTAAAAAGAACTGGATTCACAATCTTTTTTAAAATGTTCAAAGAAACTCTTTAAGGTTTTTTATCAGATCCATAAGACATTAAGACTTTCATTCATTTATACATTTCTATAGTAAATCAGAGAATTTCCCTAAAAATTATTTCTAAAAATGGGAAAACAAGAAGCATCATAAATTTAAAACATAAAAACTATAATGTATCTTGGCATCAGTATTACACGATCTTCTTTAAAGACAAGTGTGGGATCTGCTCTGTAAAAAGACAAAACAGAGCTCATAAATCTTTACCTGGCCTACAGGCATAAGCGAAGATCATCATTGGAGCTTGGTGCTGCCCTAAGCCAAGTTGAGTCTATCATCTTGACTTTGATGTTTAGAGGCCAAGTAAGCCAATGGATTACATGAAAATAAATGCAGAGGACAGAAAGACAACTTGAAAACCAAAAATAGTGAGCACAGAAAGAAATGATAGAGAAGAATCTAAAACACAGAAAACTGTATCATACATCTTTCAGGGTAGATAGAAAAACAAAACTCATATTCATATTCAAGCAATGACAACTTGATTGCTATTTCATATAGTGAAGAAAGCCAAAATTTCAATACTTCAGACATGTCTTCAAATAAGCCATTAATCACATTTTTTCATTCCTATACATAACTTAAAAAATAGAATATAGAGACCTTTACCAGGAATTGTGTGTTTACAAGGTATAATTGTGTCAGATGCTTATACAGTCACTTGTTTGAGAGCACAAGTGTATGTGTATACACACTTCACAACATTATAAAAAATGAATAGTTAGCCTCGCTTTCCTGGCTGAGACCCTGAAATATGAGTTATCAAATACTGAGTTACACCACTGAGTGATGAAGTCAAAATGGTGTCTGTCTACTGCTTCGGCTTTGCACTCAACGCTACTCCTCTGCCTCAGCTGCTCGTGATTTTGTGTGCTCTTCTGTCATGGACTGCTTCTGCTAAGCTCCCAGTTTGAGTAAGCCATGTCTGCTATATTTTCAAGGTATTTTTTCATGCGAGAACTAAGCAAAACACTTCTCTACCTGCTTCAGGGAAAGAGAAATAGCCGTGTTTGCATTGTTATAATGTGTTATATAAATCTCCCCCCTTGTACAGCCAAACCTCGGAAACAGTTTGCAGAAAAAGTATCAATTCATACGTCACACCAGCATCCAGGGTAGATTCATTCCATTCTTCCAAAAAGAATGTGCTCACAAAACAGACTCTGTAGCTAGGCCGACCTCTGACCCTAAGAGAGCCTGTTTTCCTGGTGACCTGGCCAGCCTTGTTTGTCAGGACATATTCCAAAATACCCAGATGCGAGACAGTCTACAGAATTATTCCTAGTGTAGATCTTCTCCTTGTCTTCAATTTTCTCTTAATGTTGGTATCATCTGGTCTGTTCTCTGTTCTGACTTCCTTTCCTTTCTCTACCGTCCTACCCATTTCCCCTGATTTTGTTATCCTTTTTTTCTGTCTATTCAAGAACCTACCACTCATAAAAATATGAATATCTAGAGACCTGTTCCAAAATGAAAAGAGTTGTCCCACTGAGAAGGTGGATTTTCATCTTTTTACTTCCATCTCCCACTTATTGAAAATGTGACTTCCCAGATCCATGTTTCTTTTTGGCGGTTATATGGCCCCATCAACTACACAAAAATGTGCTCACACCTACTATGTAGGTGTGTGCACGTGTATGTATGCTTATATACTTATTTTCCACTGTACCACTCTTAGTTTTAATAGAATTTTATGTTAGCTTTATATTGCTCTTGCTTGCATGATCAAAGAAATCTGTTATTATAATAAAAATACTATATCAGCGATTTTCAGATGTTACTGAATATTAGCCTTTTATAGAAGCAGCATAATTGGTGCCCATTTTTGTCTCTCGCTTTATGGCATTAATGCAAGACAATGATATTAGGCTAAGCCAAAGCAATATTCCTTTGCATTTACATATCGGGTGTTATCAGCTGGTTCGTTCTGCTGTGATGGGATCTTAACTTGTAGCACTGAATGTCAATATAACACTCATCGTTAAGACATTTAGATATAAAGTTGTTGAAGACCTTTAAAGAGAGCTGTGATAAGCTTGGGATTCGCCTGTTCCCATTGTGCTGAGTCAGTTCATTACACAACATAACGAACAGACTTAAGGAATGAACGGAGAAGGGCAAGGTAAAAGTATTTCTCTTCAGCTTCTACTTCTGTTCTTCAGTTCTCGACAGAAGCCTAAAGACAACTGCAAGGAGAAGCAAATAATAATAATAATAATAATAATAATAATAATAATAATAACCTTTTCAAGTATTCCTAGATTCTACTAGTAATCAAGTTTTTTTTTTCCTCTGAAATACTTTAGTCATTTTCTTCTACAGCTTCTCGCTTTGACTATAGGACCAAACTTTAGGTAATCGCATTAGACTAAGATCTGTAAACTTTCCAACCTTCTAGGAAATGCCCCAGAAGCAACAGAATTCACAGACAGAAGCAAAACACAGGGCACTACAGTTCAGACAACACAACAAGAGCATCCACAAGGTTAATCTAGAGGGAGCATGTTTCCCAGTGGCCGGACAGCCGACAGCCTGGACTACACAATACAGCATTAGAGACAAAAGAATAAGACGAGATCTACACATGTTGCCTTGCGTTTGTGGTAATCTACACCAATGAAAACATGTACTACAGCTATATTTGATTATGTATGGATATATTTGAAATAGTATACATTGTCTTGATGTTTTTTCTGTAATGTAAATAAACTATTTATATCACACAATATAGTTTTTCTTTCCCATGTATTTGTTATATATAATAAATACTCAGTGATGAGAAAAAAAAACGGCATTCTTAAATTTGCAGTAATTCTTAGCTGGAAACACTGTCCAACTAGCCCGGGCTATGCAGACAGCAGCAGTATTTCATCCTTCTGTGCATCTTCAGACAACACAGTAGTTTGCACAGGACTCTGTAGCCAGGTTTTGAGTGATGTTAAGATCAAGGGAAATGATGGTTATTGGAAAGAGAAAAAATAATTTACTTTATTGAGGAAGCATAAACTATGTCAGACACTTGAATCATCTCTGCTTCATCTACTTTCTTCCCTGCCTTTCACTTTCATTCTCAGAACAGAAAGATCTCTGGCACATAAATTAAATAAGAGAAGAAGGGAGGGAAAGTGTCTTATGACTCAAAATAGAATGCAAAGAAGATACCTGTCTTTATTTGGAAGCAGCATAACTCTCTCAGTCAAACACATCTACCCTCAGGTTCTAAGTAAGGTATACATTAGGTATATAAACAGTGGGCAAACCTGTTCTGTTTCTGTGAGCAAAAGTAACAGCTAGGAGAAAACTATAACTGCATCAGTAAGTGTGAACCTAAACCTCAGCTGCTTTAATCTCAGCACTTGGGAGGCAGATGCAAGCGGATCTCTGTGAGTTCAAGGCCAGCTGGGTCTGCACAGCTAGTTCTAGGAGAGCTGAGGTTATAGACACACACACACACACACACACACACACACACACACACATACATACACACACATACATACACACACATACATACACACACATACACACACACATACATACACACACACATACACACATACATACACACACATACATACACACACATACATACATACACATACACATGCACATACATACACACACACATACACACACATATACATACACACACAAAAAAAACTGTCTCAAAAAAGAAAAAGACTTTTGCTGTGTTTTTATCTTATATGAGAAGAAGTTAGACTCGTACAAACAAATGCTCTCATTAGCACCTTTATGGCCCAAAGAACACTGTTATTTGAAATTGAAAACAAAAAGACAATGTTTCATGACAATGGAAAAATTGTTTTGGGCATATTTATATGAGAAAGAAAAATCCCTGAGAATCTAAGGGACCTTAGTGGGAGATGTTGTCAACCCCTGTCAGATATGAGCAAACAGGTATGAATGATCACTTTATTTGGGGAAGGTAAATTGTAAAAATTCTCAAAGAATAAGATGAAATACCAAACTAAGTAATTTCCTTATTATCGTTTACCTTTGAGTAGTTCCTGTAGCACATACAGATGCTTTAAATAAAGCTTTCTTT